TAGATAGGCTGCCGGCCTACTCCATCATTTCATTAACCGAGGATGAATTCTGGTGCATTCAGATTCGTTTGGAAAAACAACGGCTGCAAATTGAACTCGATCCTTTTGGCAGAGGATAGACTGATAAGGGCAAAACACCTCGTGGCGCTTCGGCCATGTCCTGGAAAAATCAGTGTAATGAACGACTTAGGCTTATAGCGGATGAGCTGCAGGGTAAGGAACTGTTAGGTGAGTGCGTGTGGATGGAGTAATGAAGAGGGAGAATACTCTGTTTCGATCTTCCCCTCCAGAAGCCCATCACACCTCCCGCATGAACTCTGTATATACAAAAGGAAGAAGTGATCGGCATATTCAACGAATCTGTGAGAAGAATCAATTCTTAGTGCAGAGTAATGCACGAAAGTGCCCGAAGAATCCGAAGATTTTGAACTTCGCCATTGATCAGGATTCAAGAACATGTACTCTGCTGCAGGCAAGGGAAAATCAGGTGGTCGCCGCCAGGCACGTCACTCAGTGACTTTCAGACATGAGCAACTACTGAATGGATAAGTGAACACTTGGACATCTGCCAATTTCGTGAAAGGTTCATCTTAAGCTAACCTTGTGTTCCACTACAACATTTTGTAGACACGAACGGAGTACTTGTCATCCACCGAATGAGGATGGAATAGGCTCAAATCTTATTTGAGAAAATGAACAGCGCTGCACTGAGTGTTCACATCAGGGCAGTCACGCAAGCCTCAAATGCATCTATATAAGAAATCCCTGAAGAAAACACATTACATTCTGCTTCATTGGCATAAGGAGCTGACTGAACCATTTCTCTAATTGAGGCAGAACTTTCTTTCTTGGGGTCTGAACACTTCCTTAATCGTAAAGTACCATAAATGGATTGCACAGAATGTAGCTAACTCGGAGTGTAAGATATGCGACGCTTCGACAGATCCGCCATAAAGTCATGACCCTAGGAGAAATATGTAGTTTGACCGTAAGAAAAAATTCGCTAAATATTAATAATTATTCAGTGATTTGGCATGATTGGTACAGCCCTGGGTCTCACAAGTACTGAACTTCCTTTCTAGGAATTCTATTCAGTGGTTGCCTTTTATGGAGAAAGCGACTAAGATGCTCCACTAAGAGAGAAAGATTCTGCCGACTACCAGTGACATTCTTGTGAGGCGCGAAAAGAATCAACAAGAAACAAGAGCCAGTAGAGTCAAGTGGTGGTGAAGTGAAAAGAGATGCCGTCGTTCATTGCAAAGCCAGACCGACGGCTGGCTGGCTGGCTGGCTGGCTTTCGACGAGCGCAAAATGTGTTCAAAGGCGGGCCGTATGCACTTTGGCAATGACAAATACGTGTGCAGCTTGTTTCCAAGAACCCATGGAAATCACTTATCGACGTGGACTTCCACCGACATAGTTTTAAACAGTTTTATTAGGTCGTTCAGGAACTTATGTGACTTTATCCTCTACATACGCTATGTGTACATGATTTCGTGACAAATCCTTCACGAACTTTGTAATGCTATGTATTAGGCCGTGCGTGATGTGTTTGCCGAAAATTCCATGATGGTTCAGCTTTCTCACGGGGTTTACTGGAAGCCTCCATGAGAGCACTGTAAAAGAGCAGTACTCGCTTCTACGCACATGACAGGAGATATTAGGAGCTTCCCTGATATCGCGATCAGTTGACAGATCGAGACTCATCGGCGACATTTTTGTTTCATTTTTGGATAGTTGGAACGACGTTTGCGAAGAATCGTTCAAATGAGACTTCAAGGCCAAGTTCTTGGTAAAAGTTTAAATGGTTNAAAAAAAAGAGGTTTGCCGGGGATGTGGGTACATTCGCATGTTTAGAGAGGCACGCGGCAAACCGCGCGCTTTACCGCGTGCGTCTCCAAACGGGCGAATGTTTTGTCCCTCTCTGATAGTTACTTGCATGCGCGTGGATAGTGCGTGCTTTTACATAGGAAGAACATGAAAGCTTCAAGAAGGCCCCGGGAGAAATCAAGACCGCTGCAAAACCTTTGGCAGATATATATAAATATAAATAAATGTATTTGCAAAGACTATTTCTCGCACTATATTAATGTGCCATTGTGTATTAGCTTAGCTGCTTTTAGAGCGGAGCGTTGAGCGTTGAACGCTCGTAGGCTGCATGAGCATCTTTGCAGCCGCTGACAGTGCAGAGCTGTGTAGTGCTCCTTCGCAATGATATGCTTGCGACATATGCACAATAGTAGTCGAAAAACAGACAACCAAATATTTGTACAAAAAGGGAAAAAAGTCAACAACAGAACCGATAAAATCCCGATCAAGAAAATATTTACCGCCTACCCGTGCGGTATCGATTGACTACCGGTATTGTCATCAGGGTGCCGCCGCTCAACGCTCCACTCTAAAAATGCCGATTATGGACAGCTTTTCCAGCTCAGAAGTGGAAATGACTACTTTTATTGATCTCGGTCTAGGCAAACAACTAATCTTCTACGTATGGATCAATGAGAATCAACTTATGGAAGCGCAGACCACAGGAGGTCCCAGAAATTTCGCACACGCGTTCCGAGTTTCGAAAGGAGAAGTGCCGGAGCGCCATTCCGTGGTCGATAATTTTGAGCGAAAAGTCGTTTAGAACGTCGTTTTCGCTTCTTCTGTTCAACAAGAATGTTCATTCCTTCACATATTGTACACATGACAAAGATTATTCATGCGTGGTACAATCACTGGACAAACCAACTCCTTACGTCGAAAGAGGATGATTTGTTCACTGAATGGACAGCATGAATGCTTTCGATATGCTTTTTCCCTCAAAATGGAAATGTCTAGGCTCTGTAGCAGGCCTGATTCACCAGTTTCTTAGAATCCTGGAAAGCGCAGTTACAACAGGGGGTTCCTTTCAGAAACAGACCAGATCTATCAGCAGTTTCGATTTGGGCAGTAGAAAAAAAATGTGCGTTGATTCTAGTGAAATTTATTTTGGCCATTAAAGTTTGTCGGGAGATGTTGTTTCGAATGTGTTGGTTGAATACATGTTCTCCTAACAGTCCGATGGGCATCATTTTTATGATAGTTTGGATCCAGAAACATTCGAAATCGCAATGTTGGCGAGATGAATAGACTCTCTGCGTTGGCGTTTGTTAGCCTTGGTGTTTTTGTAGATCTATCTAACGTTTATAGCAATTGAACAACCACAGACAAGCCATTTGCGGCTGTATAAATCTCTATGGCTATGGAGTATCGCTTCACAAACAGATAGTTCGGATAGAGCTCCATGCATAGCCGCTCTTTACCGACCGACGAACGAGCAGATAAATTTGCCTTTAGCAGACACAAGTACATCACCACATAGTACTTGGAATTTGAAAGGAGAAAAATTCGTCCGATGGCTTATTGAAAAGATGGCTTTCCTATTTTTATCTACTGTGCCTATTTTTTGCCTTGTGCATTACGGAGTTTGCATTCTACAGTAATACAAAAACCAATAATTCCGATCAATATTGACAGGAATTATAATATTACGACACTGTGGAAGTTTCGCACGTCGAACGNCCGGACCCATAAGTCTCTTCAGTCCCCTTCCCGAAAATTAATGATTCTGATCAATATTGATAGAAGTTCGTTAGAGCTTCCAACTCATCTCCTCATCTCTCGCTCTCCCATCAAACTGAACCTCCGCCGGCCAAAGCGGGATAGTAATAAAAGCCTCGCTTACATGCACGTGCCCGAATCGATACTGATTTGTACCGGCTAAGGGACGGAACTTACGTGCATCCGAGGATGCGAGCGGCAAATCGCACGACGAAGTGCGTAGCGATTCGAACGACTCTAGCGCCTATCATTGGGGCCCAAATTTGAAGTAGAGTAAATTAGTAGGATCTGCTAACATCATGCTTCAAGTCTGGGTCCCCACAATAGGGGCCAGAGTCGTTGGAATCGCCATAAATTTCGTCGCGGCATCTTCGGGCGCGCGTATGTTTCCATACCCATGCCGGTCTGGATGGGTGCGCTTCTTTGCACGCGTCCGTCGAAACTAGGTCACGCCGCAGCCGTCGCGTGCGGCAGGTCAACCCGCGAAACTTGACGGATGTCGCAGTTGTCAGTGGGGCATATGATTTGCGCATGGTCCACACCAGTCATCTCAAAGAGAAGATAACATGGGCAAACGCAAACCGTTCGCTCCACTGACATTTGGTGGTACTGTAATGTCACGTCAAGACCTCAGTGGGGTGCGCCGCTCGCGAAGTGGGCGGGATGACCTACGTCAGACGGACGCGCGCAACGGACGTTCTCCGGTCTGGATGGTTCATAGCCCTCGAATTATCCCACCATCTTCTACTCGTTACAGTGATTTGCTTTCTTTTTATTTTCTGCGATAATCAAGGAACACTATATCACACGCACGGTCAGGGGTTCTAATCCCAGATCGATGCCCGCCTAGGTCAACCAAGCCTTCCATCCTTGCGGGGTTGGTGAATTGGTACCAGATTCGTCTGGGAGGATAAAAGCACTGACTACACCGGCTGGCCACCGCAAGACATTGTATAGGCCACATACGCACTCATTACGCCACTACGATTGTGAATGGAAGTCGAGTGCGGGGGCGCATCCCTCAGACGGGATTGATTACGCCAGAAACTTTATACTATTATTCAAGGAACTACTACTTTACTTTACTTTATACTTTTATTCAAGGAACATCTACTAACTGTAGGACAACATATGTATGTATATGTATCCAATTGTGAGGGAGAAGTAACAGATCTTCGAGGATTACCAAAACTTTTCCTACTACAACATCTTGACTGTGAAGTTCCCAGAACAGAATGAAGAGCTCCAATCTGTTAATCATTTTTATTAATAAATGCCAAACGAGACACCTTAATGCCCTTTTTAATCCAGAACCAGCGATTATTATTTACAACAACATAAAATAAACCTATTGAGAAATTCTTCATCTAATTTTTTTACACTGTCTATTTAACCTTTTTTATTTTAAAAATCTATTCATCATCCATAGAATCGGATCGAGGAAGTATAGGCACATGAGATTCATCGCATTCATCCTTCCCAGGCCAATCATACTGATCATTGATCGATGGTTCATATTCATAATTGTAGATTTGCTGACGGATGAACATTTCCTGGATGACGAATGTATAATTTTAAAATTCAACCCTTTTGTTAGATGCTTCCAAGGGAAAACAGAACTAACCTTATCCTTAGGTTCAGGATGGAGAGTGGCAAGATTGTTTTCATAAAGATATTTTCCAATCTGAAATAGAAAAATTCAATCTAAATTCATGTAACCAAAAGGTACTAAACAGCAACTGCTAGAATCGTTAATATTCTATGGGCTTAGGCTTAGGCTTACTAGTTCAGAGAATACAGTATTCATGTCTGTTAAAGGTAACCATAACTGTTTCCATTATTGAGCCTGCATTTCTTAGGATTTTGCGCAGTTATTCTCGGTCACTGCAGGTTTTGAAAAATTGGTACTAGGCAGTTCATTAGAATTTACTTACTCTACAAAGCGTACCGTGAGCACAAATAGACTTTGATCCATTTGGCGGTTTTTTCGTCTGCTGACTTTTTCAGTATAAACAATCAAAAATGAAAAGTCAATAGGCTTGATCCGGAATTGTAGAGAGCCGTCTATGCGGGAGGTACGAAAGAGAGCGAGGCTCTCTGTAAAAAGCTATTCCCGCCGTGATTACTTAAACACACAGTTGACGCTAGAAATGGTTTTTGTGGTTTCCCCCTAGGATGAGCCCAAGACTCCCAAATAAATATTAAGATATACCGTATGAGTTGTTAAGCCTTGTCAAAACTGTAGAGATTGCAACATTCGCACCAAAACCCACACTTTCGTATTGGAGCCAGTTATATGCAGTGGGGCGCACCTTCGAACAGCTTGTGAACATACCCCTTCCATGCAATTTCTGTGGTCACATTCTGGTCCAAACCCTGATTCTACTGCTTAATCAAAGCCTTATTCTTCTCAATACGCCGATTTTTGCGTTTTCTTCACCGTTATTGCTTTGTCCGGGACTATCGCTTTCACTTTGCACCTAAAACTAGATAACCCAAAAATTGGGTGGCAGACTCATATTGCTAGGTTGACTATGAATAAAAAAAAACCATGAACTCACATCGAGTGCGATATGCACAGACAGCTCACGGATATCTTTGAGTCGTGGGTACAGGCGAGAATACTCGTTGAGCGACTTTTCGGTTACTGATTCAGCAACTCGCTGAAAATCGAAAAAGTATTATAGTATCGAACTGTTTAGAGGGTTCATAGGAAGTTTTCTCTGAGATCTTGTACAGAAGTTAGCGTATGCCAATGAAGTTGAATTAATGGGGATAGTCTATGGACCATACAATCAATCGAGTCTTCGAACGTTCATATCTTTCTTGAGAAATCCGTTGAACAGTCCTACCTTCTATATTAGCGAACATCATTCTGAATGTTAGTATTATACCCTAGATCTTTTCTTAAGGTTCCTGGAGATTTAGATCTGACGACCCTTCCCTGGTTCACAAATTTTCCCGACATCTCTGTTGCTTTCCAAGCAACTACTACAAAAAGAAGAAGAGTTGAATTGGAATCAACATCAATACCGGACATACCCTTGCCGCAAGTAGAAACACTTTGTCGGGGATGTGTTTCGCTTTGAAGAGCACAGCTCCAAGCGCTACCCCGGGGAAGATATATGAGTTGTTGCCTTGACCAGGTTTGTAGAGCCTTCCATTCAGTTCAACGTTGTCGAATGGCGATCCAGATGCGAACAATGCAGCACCCTAGATTTCAAAAGATCGTTGCCATTCAAACAGTACACAAAAAGTGAAAATTTAGAATTAAAGGCACAGCTCGCAATAGAAATGGTTTCTGAGTTCTCTCCCTGAAAAAAACCCGATGTTTTTCCCTCTTTCTCTAAGCTCTGTTATTCTTTTTGCTGCTGCGATCTCCAGTTCACTTTTCTACCGCAAGAGACTATAAAAGGTCGGCTACTTTTGCTGTCATTAGAGTTTTTTTTTGTTAACTTATGCTTATGTGTGAATGAATTTTTGCTGACCGTAGACAGCTATTTGTATCAGAAACCACATGTATGCAATGACACACATTGTATAGCTCGTCCAGACGCCCCATTCTTTTTCATTTTTCAGGTCTCCTTCTCGTCCAACCCCCTTCCTGACGACTTTTTGAAGCCTTTTGTCACTTTGGGAACACCGAATTACGCAGTTTCTTCGCCTTCGTCGCACTGTTTCCCATCTCATCTTCCATTTTTCATCATAATCTGGATTGACTAAAATTACTGTGGACTGCGCCTTTAAGTTTTAGCATAAATTCAAGCTTATTTCCAATATGCAAAATAAAACTCACATTGGTGTAGGTGTAAGCGGCTTCGGCTGTGCACTCGGCTTTGTCGGTGGGATTGGAAAGGGCGAAAATGATTGGGCGAGGATGGTTGTTGGCCATTTCTTTGATGATTTCAGGCGTAAATGCGCCGCCGAGCGTTGAAATACCTGGAATTTGAGATTATAACATCAGCTGAAGTAGGTGAAAACCAGGCTTCTAGACTTCAGAGATACCATAAACAATTCTCCTAACTCTTTCAATTCACATAAATNTTTTGAAGCCTTTTGTCACTTTCGAAACACCAAATCACGCAGTTTCTTCGCCTTCGTCACACTATTTTCCATCCTATCTTCTATTTCTCGTCATAATCTGGATTTACCAAAATTATCGTGAAATGCGCCTTCAAGTTTTCGCACAAATTCAAGCTTATTTCCAATTTGCTCAATAAAACTCACATTGGTGTAGGTGTAAGCGGCTTCGGCTGTGCACTCCGCTTTGTCGGTGGGGTTGGAAAGAGCAAAAATGATTGGACGAGGATGGTTCTTGGCCATTTCTTTGATGATTTCAGGCGTAAATGCGCCGCCGAGCGTTGAAATACCTGAAATTTGAGATTATAACATCAGCTGAAGAAGGTGACAATTGGGCTTTTAGACTTCAGAGATACCATAAACAATTCTCCAAACTCCTCCAATTCACATAAATTGAGACGGACTTAACCAGGGGATTTAGGCAAGAATACTATTCAACAGTAGTCTTGAAACCACATACCCATTAAAGCATGCGGCTTCACCATTTTGATCACCTCTAGTAGACTTCCAGTTTCCGGGAGATCCTAAAAAAGAAGCGTGCATGAAAACAAAGGCATTCCCCGAATAAGAAAAGGGAAACAAATAAAGTATTTTGAGGCCTCTGTTAGTAACACACTGCGCTAAAGTCCATTCAAAGAATTCTACATAGTCAAGCGGGCTTTGGTGATCTTAATGGACAAATAAGCCAACGTTCCTTCCTTGTATTTATTTTATTCGTCCATTTTTTATTGAGAAAGGAATCATCGGGTGGGTACTTCTCCCTGGAAACTGCGTCGCGCTCGCGGCACTCAATTTCGCGCAGGCGCGCGCCTTGAAGAGAGAGTTTGAACTCTTTCCGTGAAGGAGTACGGTAGCCGCAGTGGAATCACTACCGTTTGATGTGGGAACTCGAGGAAAGGTACTATCAAAAGCAGTTCCTAAAATTGAGATAAGGAGAATCAGGAGGAGTAGGAGCAGGTCCTTCACAGGGACTATGTAAGGGAACCCATTGTGAATGGCAGCTGCTACTGCAAATGCAAAAATTACTCTCCATAATCAAGAAGTATCCTATTATCCTTCGTGAACTATGAGATTTTTTTTGCTTAAGTAGTCTTTAAACACTCTCTTACGCAATCATAGTTGGTGTGCCAAAAAAACTTGTGTAGGCCCTTCTAATAGGGACGAATGGTTAACAGAAAAAAGGATAAGTCCCAGGAAAACCTTTGGCAGTTGGCGCAGCATTGGGAGACTTAAGCTAGCAAAGGCCGTTGAAGCCCTCTACTTTTCGCTGATGATGAGATGGAGAGCCGAGCTAGAAAGATAAAAAAATATATATCGATGTATCAGCTTCAGCCAAGATGTTATAGCGCTTTATTTGTCTAATGTTCCGGTCTTGCCGTCTTCGTTAGGACCTGGGAGCCAAATATCTTAGATTCATGCTTAGCGGACGCTATTTCAGACTTCAGCGTATCAAAATACCGATCACGATCGTTAAAAAACAGAACTTGTGAAGGGACAACTCCTCAGTCCTGATCGCTTTTTGTGAGTTGGCCTCAGTTTTTATTGACCCTTTTTTACCGCTTAACAACCACCTGACCTTTGCAAACTGTTCATGGCGTGCAGTGAGCCTCTCCTCCTTGCGGCAACGCTCTTTGGTGATAAGCCCTTTGCTATTCAACAAGTAGATGTTGTTACGAGCTTCCTGCTCACTGAGCCCTTCATCCTTCATCTGATCCACACATAACTCCGCTATACCCAAACCAGCCTGAAATGTCACATTTGAACTTGACAATAACTTCTATGAAAAAGTCCGCTATTTGCAATGTATAGAGGCTTAGGCCAGCTTTCCTCCACCAATCGCTCCATGGGTTCCACAAATCACACTCCTTGTCACCCGCCACGCCCAACATGGGCCGCAGCCGTTTTTTACCCCATGATGAGGTAGCCCCTTGTATGTGCTGTTGGTACGCAAATGCAGGCTGATCCAGTGAATAATATGAAATGCGACCCCGGAGTCGGACGGAAAATTCAAGCCATCGCAGCCTTTAGTAAAGTTTACAAACGTGCGGACAGCTTCCATGGAACTCCTACTTCACTTTGGAAAGGTTCCGAAAACGTAAAAACATACCGCTCCAGCACCAAGGAATACTATCTTTTTCTGTGACAATTTCAACTTATCGATTCGACTTGTCGCAAGTAAACCAGCAACAACAACCGCCGCCGTTCCTGAAAACACTTTCGTTTTGCTTCCGATGCAATGGAATTAAAGGACGACTTACCCTGAATATCGTCATTAAATGTACAGTACTCGTTCTTGTATCTGTCCAGTAACGTATAGGCATTTTGGAAGGCAAAATCTTCGAATTGAATCAGTGTATCGGCGCCGAACCTTAAAACGAATCTATTTATCTCACAGTTACGGTAACTAACATAAGAAGTTACATCACACCTCTTAGTTACTGCTTTCATGAAGTTATCAATTAGCAGGTCGTACTCCGCACCACGGACTCTCCTCTGTCGAAGACCGATGTAGAGTGGGTCATCCAGCAATTTCTGAAATGAGTTTCAATCGAGCAATAATCTAGGCGCCTTTTTTTGAGAGCCCCTTTCCTGCAGGTATGATGTGACTGAAATGGTGTAATGCATTAGAGAGAAATGCTTGGGGCAGAGTTGTCCGGTAAACAGAGTGATTTGTGGGCGAATGTCAAGAACTCCAAAACCTTGAGCGGATGAAATATGGAAATGGGTTGGGAAGAGTACCACCAGTGGCAAAAAGGTATATGGAACCGACATTGACCTTCAGAACAACGCTCTCTCAATGGCAAATGGCTTTCAAGGGTGTCGAAGTCGCCAGGCTGGATAGAGCTTGCGTACCTAACGTCTAGTAATTTTGAACAGGGACGCACAGACGGCGTGCTGTGGGAGAGCGCAGACGACATCAGGCATTGCCCGATCAGCTGATTTCAAATAGACACCACAAATAAGTAGAAGAAAAAGGTGGCAAACATTGTACCCGGATTCCCGTCTCAGTTATGCACGTAGCAGTGGTTCCTGCGGCGAACGCGAAACGCGGTGTATCTCCTTCCTTCCACTTATCTGCACATAGTCAGGAGTGCTCGAAAAACTCCTGCTCTACAACTGTTGGAGTTTCTCGAAGAACAGTGAAGGTGTATGAGCTGAGTGGGACAGGTACTACCGGGGTCAGGGTACATTAAACATCAGTATGAACGGTCTAATCAGAATCTTCTAGAAGCTCTAAAAAAAGGAAAAATATTCTCCCCTACTCCATGGCAGCAGAGCTTGTGACTTTTGAAGCACAGTTGTAAGCAAGGATCGAGAAAATTCGCTCAGTACGAATGGAAACTGCCTACTAGCCAAAAAAGCCACCCGAACGACATGCAGGGGAGAAGACTTGAAAATTCTCTGGGCAGCAAGATAGAAATGATACCTGATTATTTGTGCCAACATCTATGACAACTGGTAGACACCACTGAGGTTGAATTCCACCCAAAGCAACATAAAGACCAAGTTTGCCAACTGGAATTCCCATACCGTACGCACCGAGATCACCAAGACCAAGAATTCGTTCGCCATCAGTTACCACGACAGCCTGAAAAAGAGGATTTAAGAAATGGAAATTGTTCTTCACGTTGAACTGTATGCCAGAACCGTATAGGTAGTAAGGCTGCATCCAGAAGTAGAAAGCTAAAGGTACTAGGTAAACAGTAGTACGTGGTAGTGCCGATTATGCCATTTTTAGTGGAAGGCGGTCTCCAGTTTTCATGCTACGACCTATAGTTTGACTGTGCAGAGCGCTCATGGGGGACGGAACATTCGAGCGATTCGGACTGCGCGCGGCAAATTGCGTCGCCACGAATTCCGCCGCACAATTTGCCGCGCGCAGTTGGAGCCGCACGAATGTACCCATACCCATATTCATTTTCACTCACTTCCCAGTCACTCCCTCGATTCCAGCCTCACGTTCGAATTGTGAAAGCTCCTGAAGTTCGAATTATTTTCCCGCGCGCGGACATTTAAATACGACATCAAGAGTTTCTCGCTGCAGCGGTCTGGCACTTTACCGGTCGCCGAACTTCTGCAGCTAATCGGAGTAGATAAGAAGGATCATCTGACAGTACTAAACTACTCTACTTCGAGTTTGTGTCCCGAAAATTGGCGCCAGTGTCGTACAAATCGTCACGAACTTCGCCGCGCAAGTTGCATCACGTACTCCACGTCCCCCTAGCGACTGGGTGCGGTTCGTTGCGCGCGTCCGTCGGAACTAGGTCACGCCGTCGCAGGCGGCGGGCCAGACCGCGATACTTGACAGACGTCGCTGTCAGTGGGGCATCCGATTTGGCTTGGTCCACGGCAGTCAGCCAAAGAGGAGATAACACGGACAAATGCAAATTGTTCGCTCCACTGACACTCGGTGGTACTGTAATGTCATATTGAGACCTCAGTAGGGTGCGCCGCGCGCGAAGAGGGCGGGGTGACCTACTTACAACGGACACGCGCAACGGACGTCCTCCGTAGCTACTTGGTCACCTCAAGTTTTAAGCATGCCAACAGTCGTGATCTCTAGCTTGACAGCTGTTGCCGTGAGTGACACGACCCCAGTCGGATTGGAAGAAAAGGGAATTTAAAGACTAGATTGTTTCTTTCTAAATACCAAGCTTTACTCTGATACTCCTGGGTGCTAAGTGGGTTGGGGGGGGGGGGGGGGGGGGGNGGGGGGGCACGCGGCGGCGCGGCGCCTTTTCATGTCTGTGCCCTCTCCGGCGGGATAGTAGACAAGGAAGGGTAGGCGAGTCCGTAATGGTGTTTAAGGACGTTTCATAGCTTTTTTATGCTATAACTGCGCATTTTTCACCTAGTTTCAGGAAGGGGAGAGGCTCCGGAGTGGCTGAGCCAATTGGACGTTCAGCTTCTATCTCATCTCGGCTTTTTGCACGAGATAACCATCTCACCACACCCCGGAGCCCCTCCCCTCCTTAAAAATAGGGTTTTATCTGCTCAGTGTTATCGGCTATGCATATATGCAATCATATAACATGTGCCAAGAGTTTGTTTGCTCTAAATCACGAAACACATCTGTACAACCTCACCATCCCTTCCCAGACTCAGGCCCAGTACTGCTATCTTACTGGAGAGGGCGCAGACATGAGAAGGCGCCGCGTCGCCCCTACCAACCCACTTAGCACCTACTCCTATTCGTGGTTTAACCTCCCTACATGTTTTTGCTCAAAGTCCTCTCCATTTTTCAATGTATATATGAATACGATGACTGTTTCCTAATGTACCAATTAAGCCTTCAGTGGCGTGCTTTTAGTTACCTTCAATTATACGCGCGCGAAAAAATGGCTTTTCCGCTACCATTTGCAGGACAGGGAAGGGGAACAGAAAGTCTGGCCCGTTGAAATTCCTCTCTCAGAGTTCAATCTTCTTCCCTTGCCCTCGACATCCTACATACGGCCCACCGTCTTATGGTTAGTGCATACATAAAAAAAGAAAAATAAGCAGCCAAGAAAAGTCGCAAAACGATGTTGTAAGACCTTCTCTCTTACCTGCACATTCGATACTGGCCAATTGCACAAAATCTGATAAATTTTACTTATACTGTTATCGTGGATAGTAATGTAGAGCCCTCTGAATAAGCAATTAACAGCAGATTAGCAAGGAAACGATATAGATCGTAAACGAATGGAGAATGGACTTACTTAGGATGGCGGTAGATGGATCCAAATTTTTGGCAAGCTAAACCGACTGTGGGAGTATAAATGATGGGCATCAGTTCCTTGACATTTTCACATAAAACTCGATAGAAGAGTTTTTCAGTACGGCATTGCAGTTCATCCAGAATGATGTACCTTAAATCTAATGAAACAATGATTTACAACTGTTTTCGTCCCGACTCTGATCTATTCCGTCTTTCCAAAAATATAAAAATTATGTAAAGGTGAAAAAAAAGAGGAAACTCAAGAGTAGATCTGTGAATTACTGTCTTACAGGTAATCAAAATTGTGTCTACTCTATTCATAGTGATTTTAAAATTTGATTTATTTTTTCGAACTTTTCTGCATAGACATCAATTTGAAATGGAAACGAATAGCCTCAGATGCTAGAATATATTTATGCTTCAGTTATGCAAAATTCCAACGAACTTTCCCAAGTTATCGTCTTCTTCCCGAATTCTCTTCATTACACGATATGCCTGCTGTTCCTGTGTCATAAAAGCCGGTGGCAGAAGTCCATGAATTCCAAGATATTGCCGTTCAGTATGGGAGAACGCCAAGCCCTGGAACGATGGTGAAAAAATAAGCGTGACTACTATAAAGTAATTTATGTCTCTACAGATCGTGTACTATAACCCATTGACGACCATGCAGTCCACATGTGGACTGCACGGTCCCACGTGGCCGAAAACTTGTATTTTTTTGTTTTGTTCATCTATGTTTCCATTTTTTTACAAATTTTCTTTTCCAAACATTACAACATTAGGTCTAAATGAAACTACATACAGCGTGATCCTAGAAAATCTTCTAATTTTACAATTGTAAAGGTGTTTTTTCGAAGGAGTACATTATCTTGGTGAATTCTTCGTTCGTTGAACAACTTCAAAAATTGAGATATTTCTAAAAGACGGTCGTCATGAGCATTTTCGCTGTTATCGACAAAACGCAAAGCTCCCAACGCAACTCAAATAAACGGCGTGCCGGCGGACTATGAAAGCAGCCATTAAGATCAATAATCACTTAATGTGGGCGTTGTTACCAAACCTATTTGATGGAACATTCCTAAAAACTTATAATTTTCTCTTATAAACTTCAAAAAATGGAAATGCTTGACCATGAAGTCCACATGTGGGCTGCAGTCGCGGGTGGACGAAAAGCGCGCCGGTCCCTCCCGGCGTTTTCCCGCAAAACGCCGTGGTCGTCAATGGGTTAAAGAAAGGCTTCGCTAAACAGTTAAACCCCTCTCGTCAATCACCCCCTCCATTAATTGGTACTAGCAGGAGACAATCGTCTTGGGCTTTTCTTAAATAGATAGATCAGCTCACTGTTCAGAAGTAAGCGAGAAGTATAAACTCAAAAAGGTTACTTTGCGACCAGGGCACTAATTATGTTTGTGCGGGTAAGGAGGTCGCTCTGACTCGAATGTTTTCTAGAATACTAAGCTCTTTTGCTTATTCTGACTGTTATATGGAGCTCTTTCCATCCTATGCTGACCAAACATTTGGGAGTTAGTATAACTGTGGGAGCCAAGCGTTGGGCGAAAAGCAAACTTCAAGGAAAAGAGGGAAAAGGAACGCTTATCGTGAGAAAGCCATTTACTGCCGTCCCATGCGTAACCCAAGATTTAATTTTACATTTTGTAGTCATATTTAGACACATACAGACACAGGCACATAAATTTGATGTGCAACTGACCTTGTTCAATCGANATCCTATGCTGACCAAACATTTGGGAGTTAGTATAACTGTGGGAGCCAAGCGTTGGGCGAAAAGCAAACTTCAAGGAAAAGAGGGAAAGGGCACGCTTATCGTGAGAAAGCCATTTACTGCCGTCCCATGCGTAACACAAGATTTAATTTTACATATTGTAGTCATATTTAGACCCATACAGACACAGACACATAAATTTGATGTGCAACTGACCTTGTTCAATCGAGAAGTGTTGAGAAGTTCATATCCTTTTTCATTGGGAGTGATTCGTTCTGGTCTATACAGCTTGTGAAGAGCCTTCTTCTTTGGATCACTCAAGTCCGGTTCCTGATGATGCATAGCAAAGGCAGCTGCCGAAGAGGACATGGTCCGAATATGACCAACACTTCTTAAAAAAAAGCCGGGATTTCGCTGAGAAGTAATAAAAATTGATTTAGAACGAAGTGAGACTTCAATATTAGTTATATCGTTATTGTTCGATATATACGAAATTTTTGCAAGAGTCTTGGTAACTATATTGATATAAATATCACAGATGTCAATGAACTCGCCGCGAGAACTTCGCGTTCGAACTGGATATTGATAAACAATCGAGGAAAAATCAATTTTTTCGCTCGCCCCATGTTTTGTTCTTCCCCACTGCCTCCCTCCCTCCCTACACACCCCATGTCCGATTCCATTTTGACAATTTTTTCTAGTAGTATTAAATGCATTGCCTAATGCATTCTACACATTGCTAGGGGAACATGAAGTAAGAAACGCGAAAAACCTGATCAGAGAACGTTTCCCAGATTTTTCTTAAAACCACACCCCTTCTCTGAGACACAGTTAAAAGAAATTGAATAAAGACGGTTGGAAGGAAAAGAGTAGCCCAATAAATTATTAGCATAGATGATTTGTGGGAATTTCTCCAGCGTAAACCCCAAAGGCTACTGTATGTGTCCAAAAAGTGAATGTGGTGATAACTTGTTGTGGCGCCGAGTAATGTCTGAGTGATTCTGAATTAAATCGAGGGTAGCTCCGCATTTTCTTTTTCTCAATAACACCAAAAAGGTTTCGACGGCTAGCGGAGTCTGCTACTGACCTTTTGAAGGTTTATCAGAGACAAATAAAAAACTCTAGGCTCTGAAGATGACGCTACCTCAGAAGAAGCTTCCCTAAGAAAACTGTCATTTCAAACAGTGTTTCAAAAAAAGTTCCCTGTCTTTTAAGACAACGATTTTGAAGTATGATTTTCGGAAGATGATTTGGGGAACATGAAATCAGGATAATTTGTAAAAATATCAGGAAGTTTTCATGAAGTTAACACCAAATAAGGAAATATATTTTTGCACTATCAAAGTTCGTGAGAAAAGATGATCGGTGCCAAACAAGATTGCTACGACGAGCAAGTTTTGAGCGAAACACTTTTTTCTACAATGTGTACGTCAAGTACGCGCTTGGAGCAAAGCATGGCATACAACCAAGAATGCCTAAGTCACTACTAATCGACCGTTCAGAATCATGAAGCAAAATTTTTCAACGAATCGATTATGTAAGGACTAAACTTATAAATGAGCCAGATGGGAGAGTTAATCAGCTCAGAACAGAGTGACATCCCGAACCAATCTTGGTGACTTCAGAGCCGCCTACATATTTGTGAGATGTTGGTTATGGAAAATTAGTAAACCACCTTCGTGTACCTGCCTGACCAAAAAGTTTTCTAAGGAAAAGTTCTGAGAGTTGTGGATAGTTGTTTTGAATGGAATCAAGGACGAAGACTAGTACAACAACTATAAATCAAAACAGCTTGATAAATCACCTGACCATCTCCTATAGAACGAGATGACAACTTTTATTAGAATACCACTATCGAGGTTGATGATGAAGAAAGACAACCTTCAACTAACTTAAACCTTTTGCTTAGCAGATTCGCTCGTAAACAACCATGTGGACTTCATTTGCGTGAGATTCAATCAATTTACCTATCATATGCAAGGACAGTAAGTAATCTGTTATTCCTGGTCTTAGAGAGTCAACAATGTTGAAGACGTACCCTTTCCATAAACTAGTTTTTTGCCCATTAGTTTCAAAACATCTTCGGGTTTTTGAATCTGTATCAACTACATTACAATTTAATACACCTGGGCGTATAACTTGTGGGTAATATAACCTCTGTACCAACATGGAAAAGAGGATGTGCGGGACCGCGGCTACAGCCATGAAAGGGAAATCAAGAAGTACTCGAGTAAGGTGAGAAACATAAAGAATGCCTGGGATTGATCCCAACATGCTGATTGTGCTGGTGTCCTTCTCGCCGTAACGGGAGCATCAGAAGTTCGCGCAAGCGTATAGAAGACTTTCAGGTTTTGGACTCTGGAATCAGGAACGCAATATACACTAAGGAATCGAAGTGAGGAAAGCCGGTAACGATCTCATGATGACCGCTGATTCAAGGTGCTTACCGAGTGGACAACGCAAGAAGTCAAGCAGAACGAAAAGAAAGCAACTACTCAAATGATAAGGCTACTTCTTGAGAACCACCGTACACGAGGGATGATTTGTTTTGCGCCCAAGTAGAAAAGGTCTACTGGACTCTACTGACGCGCATGTGGCGCACTTCGTACCGGAGTGCCATGGACTGGTCCACTAGACTCTAGTGAACGCATCTTCCACCAGGGATTCAATTCTTACCCTTACACCTCGCGCTCCGACGCACGGTGGCTGCGTAAAGCGCGGCAGGCCTTCCGTTTGAAGACCCCGCTATTCTGGCTTGGAATGTTGGATTCCAGCTTTTCAGTGCATGGAAATGGGCCGCTAAATTCAAGAAGCGAGATTTCAAAAGCTTCGGTAAATGTGAAGGTATGGAAATTTCCGGTTATTTAAAATATTGGCGAGCCAGACAACCGGCTTGTAAAATATCTTCGAATAGATAGCCATGGGAAAGACTCCTGATGTGCTTCATGGTGTCAACATCTTCAAGTTCTTTCTACGAGTACCTGGGTCGAGAAGCCAACATTGATAGCTCCGATGCTGAACAGAAAGCACGAGGGGCATGAGGAAATTCATGAGCAAGTAAGAAGTTCTACAGAAATAAACATACTGCCCTAACTTACCCTCACTCGTGTTTTCAGCGTCATCAGAGACTAGGAAGTTACGCAGGTTGGAATTTTTTTTCAAATTTTCGGTACACGCAATTGCAAAGGGATATTCGGCATGCCGAGCTCAACCTGCGAAAGGAAGAAGGAAGGTATGCCACGCTGTCACACGGTAATGAACCAAAAATTGAGTAGCTGGACACGGCATGCGATTTTGTGATGACAGTTTCAATTGATAAGGTTTCTCATTAGAAATGCTAGGGCGGCAGCTAGTCCGATGGTCAGACTTCTTCATAAAAGCTATGATTAGTAGGAACGGCTTTTATTGTTGTCCTCGAGCGATATTTTCCACTGGACTACAAAGCAGAGTGGTGTTGCCTTCCATGCTTCTAGCTTACCAGCCAACAGTCGCTGCCGCAAAGCCTTATAGGCCTTGCTGTACGGCAAATCTTCCTTTGATTGTCAACAAGCTCGAATTGCGCTACCGTCGGTAGCTCGGTTACCCCCAGGAATGACAAGTCCTGCACTCTTCGATGGCTTTGCCTAGGTAATCTACTATTTCCAGTCTGTTTCGATAGTGGGAACGCACTCAATTGAGCAGCATCGTCTGGGCTCTGTTACCGAGATGAAACGCCACTTTCAGATCCTTCCCTTATCGGCCAGGGGTCTAACAACTCTCAAACTTTCCATACTCTTAAGCTTACATAAGATATTTATCCCCTGCACTTTCAAGATAACCTCTTTACGTCATTCTGAACTGATTCACATTGTGTCCGATCGATTGCTACACTCTAGCCCTCCGCGATAGAGACGGAGAGCGTCCTGTTAACTCCCTCTGCATCAGCTGAACATCCATAGGTGCATAGGCTATAAGGTAAACAAATATTTTTGAGATTTTTTAATTTTTTTCAGTAATTTATTCAAGCATCCAGGCAAAAATTGGGATGGAGGGTGCCATCATTCTCGCGTTTTCGTATGCGCACTTTCAGGGAGCGCTTTCCTACTAGCAAACCCCTAATCCAACCCAAGTTTT